AACAACCTCTGGGCTGATCTACGTCAGGGCATGGCTAACTCACAGATCAAACCCTGAAACAACCTCTGGGCTGATCTAAGTCAACGCACGGCTGCCTCTTTTTATTTCTAGGAGATTGCCCTGATGACAGAAGACGCTTGCCGCACAGCGACCATCATCTGCCGCGAAAGAGTCGAGGTTCTTGTAGTGAACAGAGAAACTGTTATGGAACACTGTCCTGACGTTTTTCAGAAAGAGTTTCAGGAAAAAATGAGTATATTAAAGTAAGGAAGTAAAAATAGAGCACACGAAACGCTCGCGCGCGTTTTACATTCCTTACATATAACATCATCGTATCTAGCTTCATTATCATCATAATTATTATCATCATCATCGCCACATATTGGTGGAAAAACAACAACAAAGACTTAACTACTTTACAATTAAAAAGTAGATGACTATGAATACTTTTAAAAGGAAATTTTTCAATAATGAGCAATAATGGCAAAAAGCGTCAAAAACTAGACTTTCTTATGAGTTTTGATCCCAATTTTCGTTTCGGGTTAACACTCAAAACCTTTTTTAAACAGTTAGAAACTGATGTACTATGATAAAATGCCTGTTTGAAGCAGTATTTTGTGTTAGAATGTTGCTTTGTAAGCCTTTTTTATAGAAAATATATGGGAAATAAGCAAATGAAGGCCTAAACCTCATTTTCGAATAAAATGTTTGCTTTGGGTAACACTTTGATTCCACTTTCATCGGTCATCTCCACTTCCAAACAAGTTAAACTTTCTGAATAACAAGATTTTAGCCTTGTACAACAGCCTTTCTTCAAGAAAATAGTTTTTGGTGCTCACTGCTTGAATACGAAAAGATTCTCTCTTAATATGTAATTTTCATTTTACCGGCAGATCTCACGATCTCTTTCAAAGATGGGATGAAAAACCACTGAAGCAGCTTTGCTTCGAGTCACACATTAAAGAAGTAAGTCTACTGTGAATGACAAACCTGGATCCGTTGATTTTCAAATTTCAATATATAACGTCGGTTATGAGATGAGAATCGTTTTAGCGACAAAGTAAGATTTGATTGACGTCCACCAATAAAACGCCATTTTGTCGTGATGTTATGGGAGAGAAAATTAATGTTTTTACAGACTAAGCTGGACATCAGATTTCTAATTACTATTTCTTATCGTATGGAAACAAGATAAAGAACGATCAATTAGTTATTGAAAATATCGATATAAGATTTCAGCAAGGCTGCCATCACGCACGAGTTTAGATGATGGTATGCTTTGAATTTACAAGTAAACTACTTAGCTCCTCCCATTAGCATGTACACCTATGGTTACACCCTAAACACTCTTTACCCCTTTGTTTAGTTATCTTGGCACTATTCTTTTAAATCTTATGATATAATTATTCCTCGTAGACCTTTCTATACATTTACCATATATTCACATATTATCTTTGGTTTAAGYTATGKTTAGTTCTATGATTTTCACTCGTATTATTCTTAATAAGATATCGCACTCAGGAATTTACTATTTCCATTAGCCAATCAAGGCACAGCGATAATATTATATTGATTGTAGAATGACACCTGTCATGAAGTTATTATAAATAGAGCTCATGTAATTAGTTTTAGTTAGAAGAAGAGAAAGTAGAATAAAGATCCCGAGTAGCTCTACCGAGAGCGGTCCATCCCATAACAGTGATACAAATGTACGATTCTGTGCCAGTTAGGAGAAACACTGTAAGGTATTGAAGGTGGTGATAGACTCATCTGATTTACTCTCATTCTCTTGTCTCGTAGCTCGCACATGGTAAGCTGGTAGATCCTGACTCCACAGCATCAGATGCCGTACAATTCATCTTAAGGGTAAGCTTTTTTTACTGTGCGACTACACCAACCAAGGCCACCCAGACAAATTTTCATACAAATAAGCCAATCACGATTGAGTATTTAAACAATAGAATCTATACATATTTTCACATTTTCCTCTTTACCCAAAAATACTGTGAGTGACCGGTTTGGTACCAACTTAGTCGTTCCCGACCGACACGACCGATAACAATGCTCACATTTTAAGTAACAAAATTTAAATTTTCTCAAGTGATAATAATTGAAAAGGCTCGCGTTACGGTAAATATTCCCCGATATTCACTGAGTCTGAGGCGAATAATTGTTTTAGTATTTTTAACACAAGTGAATTTAAGAAATAACGTACGGAGTTACAGGTTTTTTTGATTATTATTTATCTCTGCAAGCAGCACAAATCAACAAACAAGTGTACGAATGCGCGCGTTAAAACATTTTTGTTCAATTTGTAACTTTAATCTATTTTTTCACTTAACATTTCATCGTAATATTTGTAAAGCGCATTGAGAATCTATAATGCGCTATATAAGAACAT